CTACTTTTATGAGTTCAACTATTTCAATGAGAAATGAAAAGAAAACACAAGAGAAATGACAATAAGAAAATAAGAGAAAAAGAAGTTCTCTACAAATATTTGTCTGTGTGTGTATTTCTATGTGTACTTGATTTTATTGGTTTCTAAATTTCACTTGAAATTGTTGGGGAAATAAAGTTTGGGAAGGGAAATATCTTACACTATGGATGGAAAAATGAACAAATTTGGAGATAAAATATGAGAGTGGTTTTGGGGAGATATGTTTGGTAGATGGGAAAATATATAACAAAAAAAAACCCAATAGCTTCAAAAATAGCGAAAGTTACATGTACATGCAGCAGCGCCACGAAAAAGCCACACTTTTAGACCCCATTTTTTACGGCATGAATTCATTTGTCCGTCATTGCCCGCACTCACTGAACAGTTGCACGTGCACAGCTTCCCATTCACTCAAGCCCAGTGCACGTGGGCACAGCTTCCCATTCACTCAACGCATATTACACGCTGAGGTCTTGACCGTCAATCGCTCCGCATAGCAACACGGCAGCATAGCAATGCGCTGGGCCAAGGCCCGGAACAAACGAGCCCTTATGTAACACACACAATGGGGGCTCTATACAGAGCGGGCGGCATGGCCGCAAAACCGAAGGGTCAATGGAAGTTGCTTGTGAGGGCTAGATTCGCCACGGGACACTCATTTTATGGGGTTTAGGGATTCAGAAAAAAAGATATGAATTTTGAAGATTTTTGAAAAACAAAAATATAAAAAAACCGCCCGGCAGCGCATGTAATGGTTAAAAAAAGCACCCGGCAGCAAGTGGTTAAACTTTTTGACGGGCAGCTTGATCTTTTACTCAGGGCGATCAATCCCGACAAGACTGATGTTGCACAATGAAAGCAGACTATGAATACAAAGTTGTTTGTTGTCAGCTCATAATCACAATAAAGCTGGTCTAGTCCCAAGACTTGACAACGTGTGTCTGCAATTGTCTGTACAGTCCAACCCTGCAAGGGAAAAAAAGTCGCGTAGCTGCATCAATTCCAGAACATCAGTCTGACCAGAGACAAGCTATTTTTATTTTGACCTAAGAAGTGTTTGCATTAAAACAAGGGTACTTTGTTCAGTATGTTGAAGGACTTCTTCAATGCTAACTGGTTTCAACTGGTTTCAATCAAAGCATAGACTTCAGCAGAAAGAAGTATGCTTACTTGCCATCTTGAAGGAAGCACATACATGCCCGTAGCATGGGGAATATGCCTAGGACATTCTCCAGCCCCTCCTTGTGACAATCTTGCCACATCTTCTTTACACAGAGCAGAGAAAGATGTCTAATGGAGGATGTCTGAACCAGAGCCCATGGTAACATGACAGGGAAAGCTCGCTGGTAGAAGCACTCCTTTAAGTATAACCAATATAATACAAAATGACTTCAAGGATTTTTAAGAACTTAAAACAAAAAAGTGTTTAAATACAGTATTAGAATGAACAATGAAGAAAGTTTGGAACCACGTTTGTTCAAGTAGAGACCAAACAATTTCATTATTTTGATCCATTGCACATGTCCATGATCAAGTGAGAAACAACTGCAAACACACAAAGGAAGGTCATCAAACACTCTTCTGATAATAACCCTTTTCATAGAATATGTGAAAAATATGTGCACACATTCAATGATTATTTATGAACAGTAACCATCTCTTGACTTTGTCCAATGACTGTGTGTCTTCTATTAGCGCCTTCATCAACTGGCATGTACAGTGTAGCAGATTGAGCAAACTGCATATAGTACATATCAGCATAGTTGGAAAGAATGCTTTTAAAAACTTGTGGAGACAAATTTACAGATTTATCACACCATCTGTTCAAGAAGTAGGTATCTTTATATTCTGATTCAGAATTTTCAGAAACCTAATAACTAATCACTTCTCCCAGATAGAATATTTAAGAGACAGCTGCTTAACAGCGTCATGTCACTTGACGCAAAAAGTTCGGCTGACAATTAATTGCCAACCATCAGCCTTGGTCATGTTTCTCACCAAGACTTCTTACATCTTTTCCGGCATTCATGTGGGGCAGGTTCAAGTGAATAGATGGTGTTGACACACTAAATCCAGAGTCTGCAATAGGATTGTTTTGTACAACACAGCAATTTCTAAGCACAAATGACACAAGCTACCCACTTTAAAGATGTGCATATTTTGAACTATATGCATATTCTGAAAGTGCCGCAGTCAAATTCATCACAAGTCATGCAGTCTTAGACCAAGTCACCAGTTATTCTGCAACAGAAACATTGCTCTGTTCTTTGTTAAACCTTACTCATCACAGGCAATGTGTAAGGACTTGTGAAGGGGCGCGGCCTGTATGACCGGTCTTGTGATAGACTCAACCACAACACTGGTCTTTTACTCATGTGAGATGAAAACAAGGACCAACCTTATGCTTCTTGTCTGGTTGTGCCATGCCAAGATGAGCGACCAATATGACTAATGGGCAGACATTATTTCTGAAGTGTCTCTCGGCTGTGGGCACAAGAACAAAATAGAAGCAAATAATGATGGAACGCTGCAAACATCAATGTAATCTGATCAAGTTGGATGTTCGGCAATATTAGGCTCTTTCTTTTACAAACACGCACTCTTCGAGTATACATTTAGTACCAGCACAAGTGCATGTGTACTTAGCAATAAGCCTTTTGCTAGTGACCTTTGAACAAAATCTGGTACTCTGAGTTCTTTAAATTCACGGGAACATAACAATTTGAGTTCTCCATACTAAAAACACCATTGCTATACCTCGTGATTCGGGGCAAGCTTTTGCTTAGTTATGTAAGAGACACCTTACAACAATACAGTGTTCTCAATGGATAAGAAGGGCACAAAGGAACCAGTCCATTCCAAAGATGGTGGTTGCTATGCAAAAGCTTGCCCTGAATCATGAGGTATAGCAACAGCATCTTTTGTCTGGGGAATTAAAATTGTCACGTTTGTGTACAGTCAAATAACTCAATGTACCGGATTTAATTCAAGTTTAACTCCCAAATGGCTTATTAACCACATCATACACTACTTCAACTGCATGGTTCCACCTTTGCACATACACATTGGTAGTAACATGTGCACCGTAATCAGTGTTCCAATTTTCCCAACGAGTACGTCACTCTGCATTTTCACGTAAAGCACACGTCAGTTGATCTAGGTCGCTCAAGACTAGATTCAAGCAATACCTCCTGGCAAGCTAACCAGCATTCAAAATTCTACACCCCCTCCCCTATGCCAGATTTATGAAGAATCCTTTTTATCACATTAAATGACACTTGTGAATGATCCCAACAACAGACCCTCCAAACAAAGCCCAAGTATCAACAACTGAATAGCTAGCAACCTACCCAAAAACTCCCGTTATAAACCACTCTGCAAATCACCTTTCAACCTTGCTTTTTTCAAAACTTACACTCTGTATGAGGTTCCATATGTGTTCCTCCAAGCTAGGTACAAGTATCAATAGCCGAGTAGCCACCCATATCATAAGATACTTCAGTGAGGATTGCTTCTCTCTGATGACTGACGACAACACATCTTCTAGTATCTGCCCAGCACAGTCCTGAAAGATTCAAGTACTTTGCTATTTAAGAAGTCTGTTGATTCTTTTCATTTCTTCACCAAAGATGGCAAACCAAATGCTAATTCATAAACTAGTCACAGTAATCACCTAAAACTTCAGTTTTCAAATCTTAGAGGAACTATTCATTCACGTCTTTAAAACTGCAATTGGTTTGTTTTTCAGTCTAAGTTGACCATAATTTCAACTTTTGTTTCACTTTTTCAAACCAGACAGACCTCCCAACACTGGCTACCAAGAATTCAGAATCCTTTTCTCCTAAATTCAGAAATTTTCATGAAAAAGCGGAATATTATCCCAGCTACTAGAACAAGGAAAAATCAGTGCTGCATTGTACAAGAGTCGAGTCCCTGATGATGTACATTATCGCATGTACATGTAGGTCTACTCATTGATTTCATACAATTTTGATTTCCACAAGAGTTTACATCATCTAAAATGGTCCGCAATTATATCTTATCTCCTAAATGCATTGATTTACCACAAAATTTAGTGTAAATTCACAGCGAAATTCACCGCATGGTGCTTGCACACATGACATGATTGTGGACAATTTCACAGCAGGGCTTAATTAAGATCCAAACGTTCTTAGCTGTGGTTCCAAGCAAAACTGGGCATCGTGTGACGCACGCATACAGTGCTAGTTACAATGTAGCTTATCGATAGAGGGCATTTTATCACGTGATCATGTCCAACTCCTGTCAAAAGAGGGAGCTGCCACGGACGTGGCACACTGCGGTACAGTACATTACAAGAACATTTTCCGGTAAATGATATAGGCGTATCAAAATTGAAATTTGGTGGAAATTTTCAGGCGAAATCGGAACGTCGGAAACGACGTGAAAAAGCAGATATGTTCTGCCAAAAATCGGGAGGCTTGGGAGGTCAGTCAAACTATATTTATTTTACTGCCTTTTTGGTTTTATGCTAATGAGCATTTTCCATAGTCATGAGCAAAACTGTGATGTCATCCCAGGAAGACAGCTTCAATGTTGCATTGGTTTGTACACAACAAGTAATGCATTTTAAAGGATTTTTCTGGACTAAACTTTAACTTCTTTGACGATTCCTTCCATTTTTATAGTCAAAACAATAACGGAGCATCCACCTGTTTCATCGAAATGTTTCAGTGAGTAACTTCTAGGTTCACAATTTGAACAGAAATCCTATTTCTTAAGGAGACATCACAGCAACAGCAACCTCAGTTGTCCTGGAAACATGAATTATTTTAAACATTTTATAAAGTGCACTTTTCGATCCATAATGTAAAATAGTTTTCACACAATGAAGAGTACAGAGTTGTAGAAATATTGTGTCCAAGAAAAATTCACTGCAACTACTTTTTGAACATGAGCACTACAATGAAAGTTCTGGTGATTTTCTTATTTAAATTTGGTATCATGACCAAAAATGCCCCTACAAAGTCCATTGAATCCAAAAGCAAAAATAATTTGAGCACATAAAAGTGGAATATATCTTCAAAATTGTCCCATCTTACCTTGAGTATGTATGGTACCAGAACCAGCAACATCTGCCACAGTCCAATGTTCTGCCTATGTAGCTGGCTGTTCATCATGTCCCTTGGTTTTGTGCTTGTCTTCAGTTCATGAAACTGAAACAGAGTGGTAACTCTTGCTCACTTAGTAGAGGAAACCTAACATTCATTTCATGTGAATATTCTCTGACAGGAAATTTAATTAACAAATAATAACTACTGAGATGTCATATATGATATTTTGCAACCCAAAAGACTACTAGAACCCAGAGCAAATCAGTGGGTGCTAAACATTCCTGAATGTGTCAAGAACATCAATGCCACATGACAGCAGTCAATAATTATTTTGTTATACTCCTGTTTCGAATTCTCTGCAACATTTTTCCTCACCTGATGTGTCTTGAATTTAGTTAAAATAATGAGTGTCCTAATCTGTTGCAGCACAGAAAATGGTAAGATATACTCTGTACTATGTTGAACTTTGTCGCACACGCCCGAGTACATGCAGCCCCAAAATCTGAAATTAACATACCTTTGTGTATTTTGTGTCTTGAGTCCTTACTTTCATTCGTCGGATCGTATTAAGAATTGAAGCTGATACATACAGCCTCATTTTCAAACACGGAAGTGCGCAGATTGACGCCAAAAGCATTGTACTGTGATCCCACTATTGGAAGTGTCTCGTTGAAAGTAAAATCTTCACACCTTAAGGCCATTGTTGTGAACAAAATCTGTGTCTTCAAGCTCAGCAAGACATCATACAAAGAAACGTGTATGAAGAGACAAACATCACATAAATTGTATTTACACAGCCTCCCTATGACTGAACTGACAACAATTTGCAGCGCTTTAACAACTGACTGTATGCCACTTTGCTGCTCTCTCAGAATGAGACATTCAGGTGAGGAAAAAATCAAGAATTCAATACAGGGGTATAACAAAGTTATTAGTGACTAATGCGATGTGAGATGTGATGCTTTTGACACCTTCACAAACACACACCATCAAATTGGGTAATGGGAGTTAAAACACTGTATCTCACCTTATAGAAGTCATGTTAAACTGTTTCAACAGTGAAAGACACAAAATTACCATTCAATGTTCAGCTAAGTATCCAATGAACATAAAGAATTCCAAACCATATATGTGACCTGTCACCACAAAATGAGTTCCCAAAAACTGAGATATTGGTATTTTTCAATTAAACAGAGAGGGAACTTTCCAACTGCATTTACATGGAACAATTAGGAAAAAAGTATAAGGTGACAATAAGATATTATCATGGCAGCTTTGCGTCTTTGTTTCGACATTTCTGACCAGGCATGAATAATGCTATCATCAAAATTGCTGAGAAAATGACATTTTAATGTATAATCCTACGAAAAATTTGAAACCACATAGGAGATGGGTTACTCTTTTCAATTATAGGTTTTGCCGGACAATTTCGGAAAATGCGTGACCTTAATTTGTAAAATAATATTTCAATTTAGCGTAGATTTTGAAAATATTTTAAAACCTGGTTTCATTATCACAATAACATAGAATTCGACATCGTTTTGCATCCTTCAAATAAAAGAATGTGCATTAGGTGAGTGGGATTTCGGATTGACGTATTCATTGCCAATTACAACAAATGTGCATTCTTATTTGCTGAAAATCTGTCTTTTAACCACATGCAGCCAGGGAACCTAGTTTCAGGCAAATAGGCTGTATACAGGAAGCCAGGGAGCCCAAAACCCAACAAAAGAGCTGGGCCATAATTGTAACAAAAGACGGTACTCAGCACAAAAGACTGAGCTGCCGTGAATTGCCAACAGTTTTTCAGTTGTCAATATCGGAGGAAATCCATCCATGTTATGAAAGATTATACTACTATTTGTAGAGCGCAAGAGGATCACCACAGGGGACAGAAGCTCTCCAGCGCTCCAATGATGAGCGACACAATACCGCTGCACCCTAATCGGGCCCATATTGAAAAGACACCAGCAGTGCACTGTGCCGGTGTCGGGAACAAGAGAAACTTACATAACACCGCACAATCTGACCTCTTTTTACAAGGCTGCAGGCCTGGCTGAAATACTCGGGCATCAATAGATTTTCGTGTGGGTGTTAACGTCCATTAAATGGACCTAAATCACCTAAACATCTTTAAAAATGGAACTTCTGTAAGTGCACAAATGAATTCCAATTCCTGAGCAGGCATACTTTAAATAACACACAGGCGAAAACGCCTGCATATTTTGCAAAATAGCTTGAGTTCAAATTAAGATGAATGCAGAATTGCAGAGTTGCATTCAATTTTGCACAAAAATGAATGACAATATACTAAACCATTGCAATATCAGGAATTTGAATGCTGAATTTATACATTTGAATGCATCCTCCTTGAAACAGAATTTGTATTTGTTAAAAAGAAATAAAGATTTGAATGTTCGTTCTATATCACTCAAAACAAATGCTGCTATTACTTATTCAATTACACATTTTCCAAAATTGACCGGGAAAACCTACATCAAAAAATTGACCTCCACTTCAAACGGCTTTAAACCCTCAAAATAGGAAAGAGCAGGATGCTCATTTTGTTGTGACAGGTCACATATGCATTACTTGGCACCAGTGGGTCTAACTACTGGTACTTTCATACCTTTTTCAATAACCCCTGCAAGAAGACAGTGATGAGTCGGCAACATTCAAGTGACTGTCTTGTTGCTATCTTCAATAAGAAATTCAGCAGAACAACTCGTCGCTGGCGTGGTCTTTGTTCTGCACTGTATGATATTAAAAACGAAAAGATGTGCCAAAAATACAACTTAAAAACAGTTATTATAGGAAATTTAGCAATGTCAAGTACACCTACTCAAATCATTAAAGGAGAACTCTCTGAAGGCTCCTTTTCTCCTACAGCAAGATATTTTAGTGGAACAAATAAAACTGATTTATGATTATATTGCAAATAAACAGGAACATACAAATTCAGGAAGATTAACCACTTCCTGCCAGGTAGAGTATGCACATGCGGGATGCGTAACCGGGCAATTTTTCATGATTTTCCGTTTTCAAACTTTCATATCTTCATTTTAATATCGGACACTTACACCAACACGAATGACTGTCTGGCGGCTACTCTAATCTGACAAGCAACCTCCATTGACATCGGAGTATTGCAGCCAGGCCTGCCGCCCAGTAAAGAGAGCCCACATTGTGCGGTGTTGCGTAATTCCATTTGTTCCCGATATTGGCGCAGTATGTAGCTGAATGACGGACGCATCTTTACAAATGCGGCCAGATTAGCATGCAGAGTATTGTATCGCTCATCGCTGGAGGGCTGGAGCATTTTTGTCCCTGCTGGTAATCCGTGGGCACTGAATGCCGCAAACAATGGTATACTGTTTCAAAAAAATTACGGATTACCTCTGCTAATGCCAACACTCTGTGCTGACAGTATATGAAAATTGATTAGAAATTCCCAGCAGCTCGGTGATTTGTTCCAAGTTTGGTCTTTTGTTACAAGGCCCAGTTCCTTTGTTCCGATTTTCAGGCACCTCGGCCATGCACACACGGCCAATGTCTCGGCGCCGAGTGGTAAAACTTCCTCATAGTTACCAAAAACTTGAAAGCGTTATAAGCTTTTTGAGCATTAAGATTTCCGATGAGCATCACTGAAAATGACTTTAACTACATTTAACAGGTTGGGTAAGTAGTTTAATTTATAAAGTCACTCTTGCAGTTTATGACATGATTCACAAAAACCATATGTCACAAATAACAGGGACGGGGAAAGTGCAATTACAATGTACTACATTATTGCAATTCTAGGTAATATTGGGAGCTTCTATTCATTACCTTGTTTCAGGGCACAAGAACACTGCTACCCTAATAGGATGCTAACTTAGGACCAAAAACCTCTTCACGGCACATGAATTTAATGTGTAGTTGTGATCTTCAAATGAACAGGATTTCCATTAAATACTTTAGTTTTTAAAAGTAGCTGTCATGTACATGAATCACAGAAAGCTATGATGCAAGTACATGTACATCATAAGACCATAATAAATGCATTTTTTACCCAACACTTACATGTATTTGTTAAGCTTATAATCTTATAATCTTATAATGTTACCATGCAATGAGATCATCCTTTACAGTCTGGAGATGGCTCTGCTGTGACAAAAACACACTGGTATCTTGCTGCTGCCTACAACCAGGGAAAGAACCGAAAGTTCTTTAGTAGCATTGAATGCAGAGTCACTAGAAATTTGAGATGGTTTATTTTTGCCAAAAATGTGAAGGTTTAGTTCTTCAAAGAGGTGTACATGGGTAGCACTGTAACCAGGTACAGTGTACTCTATGAAATAAAACACAGGCATGTGGGTACCAGTTATCCTATAGGAATCAATTCCCAATCTCAATGAAACACAAAAACCCCAAAAATGAGAAAAAAAAATGGAAATCTATCAATTTCATTTTCATCAAAACATTCAAAAAAAATATGTCTATATGTTGTCAATACTGAATAAGAGCACAGGATTTAGCATTAACAATTACCACAATACATCTACATGTACTAGTTTTTATTGGAAATTTCTTGACAAACACCTTTTAAAATCTGTCTTTTGTTTGAGAGGTTACTAAATTATTTTCAATTTGGTAAGGAATTACCAGTCTCATAACTTCAAACCTATTTGAGACATTTATGGTGACATACTCAGTTAACCAGTTCCAAAGCACAGCCCTAGTTCTTTGATAAATGATGCTCACTCATCCGTGACTGCAGGTAGGGCTGTGCCAAATATCCGAATAACCCAATATTCGATCAATTGTCAAATACTGATTATGCAATATAATTTGATCATTCAAATGCAAAATTCATGAAAAGGAAGGGAAAATTTTCTTTTGCTTTAAATGAAAAAAATTGTACCATGGAGGTTTGTTTCAAGCAGATTCAAAAGAAAAGCGTCAGAAATCTTACAATGATTTAATAACAAGTAAATTATTCATTAAATAATTTAAAAGGAATAGAACAGGACAAGAAAGTCTTGTTCAGTTCACCTCTTAAATCTTGAATCTTGCTAAATCGTGGCATACTCCTAGACGTGAGAAGCTATTACATGTATATTGATCATCATAGAAAAATGTGTGTGTTATATGGTTTGTTCATCAACAATCTGCCAGTCGGTGTGACCAAATAGTCAAATATTCGATCAAATTGAAGGTCGAAAATGAAAATAGTGAATTTTTCGAAATGACTCAGCCCTAACTGCAGGGAAACAACTTGCATATTCTTGGCAAGCTGATGGACCTCAATGTTCTTTCATACATGTAAATCTGATGCACAAAGCTTAACTCAGTGGTAACACAGCATGATATAATTTGACTTCATGTAATTGTTCTCATTTAATAAATTACTGATTCAAAGTCTGAGGAGCCCAGCATCAATATACATTCTCTATGTTGTTGTAAATATCAAAAACAAGTAAGGGAAAAAATATACCAGATGTAGTTTTCTAAAGTACTTATCCTTACCTGATATCTTTGCTAAATCTAGAGCTCACAGTACATAACTCTACAAGTAATGACATGTGATTAGTGATGGCCTTCATAGTTAGTATCCTGCTCTCTTTGCCGTCAAACTGACTTGCCCAATGACTACACAGATGTTTGACGAAGATTAGGAGAATCTTGTGTTTGCCTTCACCCAGAGTCAGGATACTGCTGATGACCTGCAACGAGTCAGCACATGTTCAAATATATCAAAATGGACCTGGATGCTATCACTGAATTTCTGAAGGTCCCTTAAAACTGCCAATAGACCTATTGTACCCGCTATAAGTGGGTATCAATCATTAACAAACAAGGTGTCCTCCCACAGCAATGTGTATTTTAAGCATTGTTTACCAAAAACAAAGCCAATTTTCAGTATAGCACTCAGCACATCAGTAGTCTGAGTACTACACTGACTGTTAGCTTTGTTTTGGTAAATGAAACTTATGACACACTTTGCTGTGGGAGGACGCCATATTTGTTAATGTTATTTGTTAATAGCCAATATAAGTCACATGACTTACTAGGTGCAATCAGTCTATTAGCCAGAATGTTCTACCTTTAAGAACAATTGTTCGGGGTTCTAAATGCAACAATTGATCACCTTATCAGCTACAGAACTATGCTCACTCTGCTCACTTTCAGTGTAAACTGCTTTGATATTTTGTACTGCACAGAAAAATCCTTCATTGACACATGTGTAAATGGGCTCTAATGGGTCACTTGCCAGTAGGCAATTTATGAGCTCTGGCAGAGTGCGAAATTAAACCAAAAAAGTGCTCGGACAAAATGTCATAACACAATCAATTTTGTTCTGCCATTACCATCTTTTGATCTGCCATGTTATATAAAAGGTAGAGTTATAACATGCAGTGTCAGGTATCGAAATACACTTTTTTTCCCCTGGTCCTAACAGAACCACACACGCAACCGCATTTAGCAATACTTGTTCGGGAGCAGGCCACAACAATTTTTTTTTTTTTTTTTTTCAGTTTGCCCGATTGGGCAGGCCATGTCATAAATTTGCTTAATCAAATTGGCTCAACACTTGCCAAAGATTTATTTAACTAAGGCCTACTGCATGCATGCAGTCTTTTATTAAGCCAAAAAATTCATGTGATGTAGTTGTGCTGTGCATGCCTCTCAAAAATTGGGTTGGTAGGTCGGAACATTTTTTTGTGCGGGGGCAATTTTGTGCTGACTGAATGGCATCAGTAGGGAGGAAAGCTTCCAAAAGTATCTAAAAAAGTGAAGAACACCTGCCTTAATCTATGTAAAAATTTCTATATACGGCAATTCACAAGAAAATTATGAACAATTCACACAATCATGATGGCAATCACGGCGGCAAACGAGCCAACGTTGTCCGTGTATCACGTGGTAAGCGTGAGTGATGCATCTTGATCAGCGGGCGCTAAACCTTGTACCATGAGCAGAACAACCTCAAATTACACTCATGAACACAGAATATACATAAATAAATATGAGACCACATTCTGTGAATTAACTTGCAGAAAACGTCTTGCAATATAACATCAATGTCTTTCCGGCCTGCAGCTTTTTGCATTTGCAACGCGTACGGCCATGTACATTCAGTACATGTGCAGTACAGACTGGTACTGGTTGCTACATTTGCATGGGTGCAGCGCGGCAGGAACCAGAGCAGCTTCTTTTAATGCATAGAGTTTCACGGACGTGTTTTCACCACTGTGACAGTGAAACGTGAATGTTGACAATGCGCAAAGAATTATGGGGCGGTTTCATGTCTGTGCAAGTGAAGTATACATACATATACACCCGTGGTGCTAGGTGACATGGGCCAGTAATGAGCGATCAGCCCTGATGAATGTCTTGGGCGTAATTAAAGTAATTCTAACACAAAACTAATAATAAACCAGATGTCATAATCCCAAATATTGTGCTGATATTTCAAGAGCTGCTATTGATATGTTGGTTGGACAATTTGCCCGAGCATTTTTTTATTTTGTTCGGACAAGCGCAATAAGTGCTCGGAAAATACCCGATGTCCTACAGTAATTTCATGCTCTGGTCTGGTAACATGAAATTACAAGCAGCAACAACAAAATAATGGTTGGTTGGTTCATATAGTTTTGCACTGACTTGTTACATATTACAGGTACAGCTTAAGGAGCGTAGGTGTAATTCCAGACAATGCGCACAAGCCCACTGAACTACAATTCACAATGTACATGTACATAAAAGTTGTAACATGTACATGTACCTTTTTGGAAATTTCCAAATAGGGCATATGTACCATTTCTTCGTCTCCCTTGGGAATTTTTCCCAGCAAAATGAATCATCTTGAAAAAAGAATTAGAAACATTGACTGAAAATTGACCTTGTGCCTTCAAGTTACAGCTAAAGCTTATCAAACTTGTTTTCAAAGCAAAAAGCTCAAAAAGCAAAAAGACATTTCAATGCTCTAAATGCAAGCACTTTTAAAGACTATCAAGGTCTAGAATTCCATTTTCAAGTACCCAAATCCAGCAAACATTGATGGTCTGTCTATTGAAGACTTGTACATACATCAATTCGTATGGAATCATTTGATGTGTACCACTTTATGTGAGAAGTTGGCAAATTGCGGGACACAGATCCGGTACTGAAGTGAGAGTGAATTTTTTTCCAACAGTGGCTTTTCAATTTTTCCCATTGACGGCATATTTTATAACCTCTGTCGTCATATTACTCAGCATACATTAATACTTTTTTCATAATGAGTACATTTTGAAGGACTTTTAAGGACCTATAACAAATTCTAGGACTTGCTCGGCCTTAAAAGACATATTTTTTAAATTCAAGGACTTTCAAGGACCACACAAGCCTGATAAAATGGCCAACACCAAAAAAAAATAAACTTCTTAAGTGACTCAATTAAAATCAAATTAATCCAAATACTTACTGAGGTAGTTAGAGACAATCGGGGAAAAACAAATCTCACTTAAAGAGAATGTATTGACATTACTGGTTTTCAACAATTTGCCATTAACTGCATGAAAACATTACTGTGTCAAGAATAAGCATCACAAAATACAAGGCATTTTTTTTACAACAGTGAGATGCCGCAAAAATCAACACGATGGGGTAAACACAAATATCTGGTTAAGCGATCATTCAGTATAGATATTTTCAGTCATAGATGCAAGTGCCCATACCGAACTCTGACCCATATTCAAACATGTGCCAGCCCGCCCAACAAATGCTTAGGTATGAGGATTTGGGACTAACACAAGTAAGAAATAAAGTTAAAAATGAAAACCAAGGAAATTCCTGCATTTTCTTAAATGCCTCTTCATCTACTTCCATGTTGCACCTTTCCTACAGTAGCAGAATCGCGAAATGAAACCAACTTTTCCTTGAATCATCACTTACAATTGACATGTAGGTATAGTTACACTAGTCCCTGTTGTAATAATGGCATTTTATTGAATAAGCCGCGCTGGGTACCATTCAGATACAGTAGCACTGGAGGTGCAATTACGTACGTGTCCAAAGTCAGCAACCAAATGTCAGGCAAAATGTTTTTTCAAACGGATGAAACTAGCAAGATATTTATCAAAGTTTTTTGCAACTCAAGTGTCCATTTGCACATTACTTCCTGTTTTGGTGGGTTTTAGTTCAAATCTGCCAGCTTTGTAGCAATTATCAAGCAAGGTTTTCTGTAACAGAGTCACCAGTGTTGCATATATGTATTTGGCAGCTGGTCTACAGTACATGGCAGCCTGTTGACATATGCATATGGCATGCAATGTAGGCTATCAACGAACAATACCGACTGTGCCATGTATTGGCCGTTGTTCCATCGTGAGTACAATTTTCCTCAAATTTGAGTTATTATCATCAGTTCTAAATAATGTATCTTTTATGTAAAATATGTCATGTTCGGCAAAAGAAAATAGAAAGCCAAAGGGGATGTTTGCTATCCTCGAATGCTCAGTATAGCTGTGTTCGTTTGGGCGGTGTTCAACTGTATTTGGCTCAGGTGCTCAGTGCTTTAGTTCTTGAGGAAAACACACTTCTTACCAAATCCACCAGAAAATCTCCCCAACACAACTGATTATTTCTCCGTTACATACCTTGTCAAGAGCATCATGCATCTCTGTTCCCTCCTCTGCAACCAAGAAGCACTGCTGGAAGATAAGTTCTACACCAGCTGCATAAATGAGCCAAAATTTCTGCGCTTTCTGTCTCCATTCATCCAGGATCACAGACCATGCTGCCTCCACTAGCTCCACACACATGGATCTGGCATCTTGACTGATCTAAACAAAGACAGACAACCTATACTACATTTACATGTAGAGACTTGAAAAAGTAATTAACCATTACTGCCAAAGGGCAGCTGGACCTAACCTTGCCCAATCACACAAACTTCAACAGGTATTTACCTAATTTTGTGTAATTTTGTTTGGGTACAGTGGGCCCATTGCACATCGCAAAGAGTATGGGTGGACTGTACCTAATCAAACAAATGTACACAATATCATTGTGTATAAACTGTATCTGTGCTACCTATTATGAGAGGAACGACCTATCTGCTGGGCTCATGTGCGCCATCTGCTTATGTGTTGCCTACCCTGAATCCCCTAGGTCTCTTCTCAGGCAAGGGTTGGTGAAGGGTCAGGCTACACTCCTACCTGAGGCAATCAATCAGTGTACCACAACATGCCTAGTTTCTGGCCAGGATCTTTTAACCACAGCTGCTGGTTCAAAGAAACACATCATCATTGCCCTGTTTTTGTGTTTTTTCTTCTTATCAAAAACTAGAAAAGAAAAGTTGTGAACTTCTTTTTGTCTTTCTTTTCTCTTTCTTTACTTTATCTTTATTTTCTCCTTTTATCTTTCTTATCTCCTTTTCTCTTTCTTTGACATTTCTTGCACAAAACATGGCAAACAGAGTACCCCCTCTATTGTGTCCTTCATTGCATTGCATTAGAAATGCACAATCATAAAACGTGGACACTATTGAGTCTATGGGTAAACCCCAGTAGCCTGACAAAAAGTCGCAGGGCTACAGTACCCATTCAATCCAAATTCAACAGGGTACAGTATGTGCAGGCCCACAGTACCCATTCGCACAAAAATTCAACAGCAGATATTAAGCTACCAGTACCCAATGCCACAAATTCACACACTTTACTGGTGTTGAATTCTTTGTGGCTAGAGAAAGTTAGGGTTAATTAAAGAAAAGAAACTTAAAATCTACCGGCAAAATGATCTTTTAAAACTGACAGCATGTCTGGCACAATGAAATCAAATCCCAGGGTGTGAATGATTGTTTTCGAACAGAATTAGCAAAAAGATGCTGATCTTTAGCAGCTGCTGACATAAAAGGACTACATCTACAAATAAGCCCTTGCAGTGTTGCAGTCATATCCATCACAAGTCCCTGTAAATCTATCACAAGTCATCCAGTCTTTAGCAAAGTAACAAACTATTCAACAGAAGCAATCCTTCGTAATTATTCACTATGTTTCTGGTGACTGGTGCTGTGAGAGGAGTTGGGACTTGTGAGGGACTCGACTACAACACTGGTTTGGCAACGTCCAAATGGCACTGAATGTGGTTATGCACATAGCCACAAGGCATGAATGAATGGTAAATTACCTTGTAAATCAGCACCTTGGCACTCTTCATTAATGGCACTGCATCGGTGCCTTTAAGTAAGGTAAGATCCCGGACACAAGCAGCAAGAATTGCTTCATATGGCTGAGTAATTGGGGAAGGTAGAGTAGCTTGAAGCAATACACTCATGCACTTCCACTTGGTGTATAGAATAAGGTTGGACATCTTACGCAGGTTGTTGGTAGCACCTGCATCGGGGATACTGAGGGATGGGACAGATTTACAGTTTCAATTTGTCACCTTTGGCTTCTGCAGTCAATCTTCATAAAACAATATGGCATACAAGTATGCTATACACAGGGACATTACTTCTATTCTCCCCATGTTTGATCTTTTTTTCTTCATCAAAACTGCATGGCAACTCATGAAATCTTGCACAGGTTAACATTTCAATACAAATTATGGGTATCACCCTTCATACATTGAGAAATGGTGGCCTTTATTACAACTTTCATTGATGACTTACACATGTAGATCGCCATATTTAATTTGCTACAAGAAACGATTATGCCCTTCAACACAATACTTGCCAGTTGCCTAAATCATCCATTTCTAATTTGATTGTTGCATCTTACTCAATCCCAGCATTACTATGAGAGCTGAAGCCATCATTTTTAAAATAAATCCAGAATTTAAACAAGTTCTAAAACCCATTTCTAATTGTGTTCAGCTGGAATATCAGTAAATTACATAAAATTAATCTTATTATAAAGTTTAACAAACAAAATGTCCCTGCATTGTGTTTTCATCTTCTGTATTTCTAATTTCATGCATTAAAAGTTTTCAAAATATGTGACAAACGTGAGTAATTGCGATACATAAGAACTGGAAATATGTTTACAAACAGCCTCTGATGTTTAAAGAAAAAACTTTGAATGCTTACATTACCATGGGAGTAGGTATATCATCCCCGAAGGTTACCAATGGTAACAGTGTGTCCCAAGGCAATGTGAGCAAAGTTTTACTCTTAGTCATCTGTACAAGCCACAGAAGCAGACAGCATGCTGCATAGGATTGAAAGTGGCTCTGTAACACATTGCTCTGGAAGAAAAACCAAAGAGTTGTTTAACAATCCAGGAAAAATTCACAAGGGTGACTGCAAACAACACAAGTACAGATGAAAGAGATGAAGGCTATAAAGGACAGACTCTGACAAGTATGTGGGCTCAGTCTCCCATGGTATACTCAACAAACAAACACTGTGATGTTTGAGAATTGTAGATTGCTACCATATTACGCTAAAGCAAAAAAAGTATTTCAAACACATGCAAGGCCTAAGTATAAAAACAAAATGATGCAGTGTAGTCCTCAATTACTATTGGCTTCCCCACAGAGCATGATGAGATGAGAAGCTACAGTGGTTCACTGCGGGGCATTCGATGAGCTGCCTGCATACATGCACTTGCTCCACTGATAACAGCATTCCTCATACGGGAATGTCCATGTGACTGTGCTAATAAAATGAACTCATGGTATTCATGATAAAAAGGAGAAAAATTCTCTCAGTCGTTGTATGCCCATCTTGACTTTGGCCAGAAAGCTTTTAGACTCTACAACCAAAACAATCTGTTGAGGGGGTTACACTTCTCAACAGACTACCAAATACACCATAGCTAGATCAATGACATCTTACCTCTCTACCCTCTGTGCTTTGAATCACAAGAAGCTTGCAACACTCTATCAGTCTTGCCTGTCCACTGATGAGAACATTTCCCATGAGGGCAGACACTGAGCTTCTCTCTAAGAAGGTATGGATAGACTCCAGAACACTGAGGTACAGTGAGACCCTGCTGGTATCTGCTGACTAAATAAATGGAAGTGCCCTATATAAGCCACGTTCATAATAACTTAGTTTAATATGAACATTACAAAGGTGTAGTTGTCAATAAATGTGTGACTGATGTACACTCCATGGTTACTTCAAGGGGAAACATTATGGTTTAAACACTTCATATTTACCTCTGCTATGTCAGATGACTGAAGCCGTCTGGTAATGAAGGAAAAAATTTCCTCCAAACATGGGAACAGCAAGGTGAACATTTCATGCTGTACTTGATCTGGGGGAAAATCAAGAAAGACAACAAAATTGTTTTAAAGTTTGCTTTGACAAAAAATAAAACAGGTTACTTAAATATTATATCACACAATCTTGAATAATTTCACTTAAAAGCACATTATAAAAATGAGAAAACCAAGGTTAATGCCGCTCTCACTATGGAAGCTTGTCATGGTCAAGTCAATTTCTTAGGTATGTGAAGTTAGGTTTGGCATATTTTTGCAGCTTCAAAGATTAGTTTAAAATGAAAAGAACTGATACACTTATCTAAAGAGACTGAACAAGATACAGCGGCCACATTAAGCAGCTAAATGTCAAAAATAGTAGTTCTCCTTTAGACACCTGCAACAACATGTCAAGCATCTTACTACTCCAAACTGTCCTTTACATTCTTCTGATTCTAATCCAATGAACAAGAATAACTTAACCACTTCGGACCGGGGCATTTTTCAACGCTGAGAATGCTGGGCCGGCATGACTATCATTTTTTCCATTTTCAAAATTCTTCAACAATTCATCATTCCATTTAACAGTCGTTTATAGCCGCACGGAG